ATCCTCTGCGCAACCAACCGCTGCCTTGTAAAATTCGGAACTAAGCTGGTGTTCCTTGAACTTCGTGCTTGCGGATACCCAGTTCTTTTAAGGACTCTTATATAGTTTGTCAAGGCGGTCACTGTTCTTTCCTGTCAGGTGTCCAAACAAAACACAAAAGCTGCAAAACGCTCCATCCCGAGCCGCAGAGTAGACCAACCACAAAACTGAGTAAGCCACTCGAAACAAAATGCTCTGATCTTTCCATAAAAATAGGTTTTAGGGAAATTGTAGCTTCAAGGTGGTGTTCAAGAATTTTTTAGGAGTTCTAGCTTTCGGTCATCAGATGGTGACTGTGCTATGGTATAGTACAATCGTGTTTGATAGAATTCTCCAACGGTATGCTGGTATCAGCATCCGCTGTGGTGGCTGAAAGATATAGACAAAAAGGCTTTTACAATTTATGCTAAGTTGGTTAGGTGATTTAATCATTTAAATATTGCACTTGTAAAATCGGTTTGATAATAACATCCAAACATATAACAATTATTTAGTGCAATTTTTTAATATATGTAAAATAAGTCAATTATGGAATTACAAAGCAGCTTACAGTGTCTTTTAAAAACTCTACTAGTATATAAATAAGGAAACATCACATTCTGACGCCAGAAGACGGCATTCGTCGTCTCTTTCATCGGCACTGTTAGACATTTCCATAACTTTTAGATTTTTGCACCCATCCACGATAAATCTAACATCAATCGGTGACAGCGTTATTCCTTTTACACATAAGGAAAACCACGAAGGCAAAGAAACTGCCAATTTAACAGCTTCATTGGAACAAAGCTTTGTTCAGTTCATAGATGAAATGTTAATTTTACTCATTCGTTTTATTATGGACTCGCTGAAACTATTTTCATCAACATATAAGCGGTCATTAAGAATTAGCACTTCAAGACCAACAGCTTCAGACTTTTGGTTTGGTAAACAATTTAAGGTACGTATTGGCTGACCGCTTAAATCTAAGTGTGTCAGCTTGTGAGCTACTCGTAAACAGTTTTGTAGTATCTCATTTAACATGGACTGGGATACTCTGACGTCGACATAAGACATAGAAAAATGCGAAAAAGCCCTGGAGTGTGAAACAATGTTCAGAAACTGAGCTTCGGTCAAATGATAAACGTTCCATTTATCAAGAGGTAGACTATGCCAGAGGCCATCTGTCTGTGAAATGTTCCACCGTCTCTTTGAAACCTTGCTTAAGGTTCCGACAATTTCCTTTAGGCCAAAATGCCTAAAAACTGCTACAAGCAGTTCATCCGGTAGGGCTGTACAAATCAGAAAATAAAATCTTGATCACGTTTTTACTCTTTGTTTACCGGTAAATTGTTATACAATCATGAAGACACATTTTATATGTCTAACATTAACAATAATTCTTACTGGTCAGTCAGACTAGTTCGCTAGCTGTTTTAAAAACTACATAATCTGAGAATTAGTTAGGTATCCTAACAACCAGGTTGCCCTGACGTGACTTTTGGCGCCAAAGCTCGGGTGAGCTGGAAACGAAAATTAAAAAGTTCTCGGCGGGAATAATCAATTTGTTTTCCTAATAAGCTTTTCTTCTTGCTAAATCTAAAAACCAAAATCAGCGTGAAAACAGGAGGTGATTTATATCGGCGAATTCTTGCACAAATCTAATGAAAGCTACCAAGGTCTACATATGTATAAGTTTCAATATACATCTGATATTCTTTGGTTCGATTTTACCTTCAATCTCTGGTGATGTTTGACTTTCCTCAGAAGACCTCGGTTGCTTGGCAGCGAGACGGTCGTTACTCACGACCTCTACAAAAAAGACGATTTTCCACAAATATCACTTCAAAAGCTGAGTATTATATTTCGAATTGTGTAATCAGCGGGCCAGGAAATCTTAGTTCATCTTAGAAATGTGTTATACCCTCCAGTCCAGACAATCGATCTGCGTTTTCTCTTTCTCCATCTTCATTGCTAGAACGAGTTTCCACTGCAAAGATAAATCATTTGTTCAAAAAATAGAAAGAGGACAAATTTCAAACCAGGCAAACATGTCTGGGTATCACGTCAGCCAGGCGTGTGCATACCGAACGAAAATAACTTTTCAGAAAAAATTATTTTGTCTACCATCAACGATTATTAACAAAGACCCGAACTAATCTTTTTTCCTGAAGTAGTCAGTAATTTGTGACATCTTGACGTTGCTATGTATTCCACACTCTTGTTGAAGTCGTTGTCCAAAGACGTTGAATGATCATACAAGCTAACCGAGTAGCAGAATTGCACAAATCGCCTGGGGAAATCTAATTTTGGTCCAGACGCTCGCGGCGATAATGTGATGGCGTGACCGCCGTCCGGAAACTAGTGATTTCCCGGCTGTAAAATTTTGCCGCCAGAACGTGTCTATGACCCTTGTCTACTTCCGGTAATTGGCAAAATGAATAAATAAAAAATAAATGTCAAAATATTTCCGAGATTCAACTTGCAGTTTACTTTTATTAAAAATATATACATATCTATTTTTTTTATTATGAAAAATTCTGACCGATTTTCGTAAAATAGTGGAAACCGGATCCGCGCCTGAGGGACAGGAGACTACACAGTTTTTTGGAGATACCATGTTTTTAAATTTAAAGGGACGATTGGTACCCACACTCTCCGGTCTGATCTCTTTGATGAGGCCTCGCTCCCACGGATCCAATCAAATATGATACTAACTGTATTTTGCTTTGATGTTCAAATTTCTTTGGAGTAACCTGACTTATCACCAAAACGAAACACATACCACTGAAGTTCTGTTTCTTTAAGAAAATGAGGAAATACGGTTCAGTGCATAAAATTGCTCAAATTCTAATACTGATTTCATACTGAGACTGATAGACATGGGATATTGATAAATTCGCCAATGAGGAATGCTCAGGAATCTTTTTTGACATCTGATACTTAAGTAGTTTTCCCCCGCATGGACGGGCTTGTCATTAAGAGATACTTACACTCTTCAGTTCCAAACCGAAAAAGTTTCCAACTTTAGACGGCAAGTCACACTTGTACTTCACGATAGCACTCCAAGGGCATTCTGCAACGGGGACAAGCACTTCCGTTCCCGGCTGAAGACGTCGCCCAAAAACAACCATTCCTTGCCGACTAAGTACTTGATACCTTGATTCAGGTGAAGTGCAAGGCAAAAGTAAACTAGCATCTTCGTTTGAGAGTCTGATAAATGCTTCTTTGCTAATGGATGGCACTATTATCCAGAGAATTTTTGATAAGTCTGGTCGTACGGTGTGAAAGCGAATTTAGCTCCTCTGAGAAACGGAAATAAGGCTCTTCTTCTTTACTTGCTACGTCGTTGTTTCACTTAGTTGGCTGTATCGGGATGAGGAGGATAAGAAACTCATGAAAAGTGTCAGATACGACTTTTCTCAGAAAACCCATGGAGATTCTTAAATAACTTCGTAAATAACTGCTATGCACAAAATAAGTGTGACAAATCGAAAGAGCTACGTCAAACAACCTTGACCTTTACGACACAATTATTGTTATTTACTGAAGTGTTTTAACGGATAAAAATTTACCTGTGATTAAACATGTTGAAACTGTGCTTGATGTCAAATTGACTTCAGCTGTGGCTCTTGCTATGACGGCTATGATTGTCAAACATCCAAATGAACGAGTACAGTTATCTCAGCGACAAAGAAAGTTGACACTAATTTATGTTCGTGCTGGGTCCGTACAGACTTCGTGACTCACTGTCGTAAGAGACTTTCCGCCCAGGGACCGTAACATAGAGTGTATAAAGTAACGCAGTCATAAAAAAATGCTGCCCTTATGATGAATTAACATGAATTGCGTGAATCCAAGGGTCGGATCTGCTGTCAACTCCTCATTTAACCTTGTAGTTGTCGTAAATTGCATTTTGGTTAAACACCATGGAAGAAACATTTCAGTTCTGGCCCAACTTATCATCAAATCCCCAACGAAATAAGCCCCAGCATTTCGTCACTTATTTAAACGAGACTCTGTTGCATTTGGAATGCTATAATAATAGCGGACTGTGTATTGAGGGTAGCCCTAGGAAAAATTTTCTCGATCAGACGCCCCTTCTTTCTGTCGAAGACTAACATGACTTTTGTCCACAATCTTGAGGTAAGAGGGTCTCGATGGGGTCAACCATTAGCCGTAAAACGGCATAAGTTTGTTGAGCCTTTAGAGGTAAAACTGACGAAATTTAACGGTTCGACGTAAAAACAGTGAACTTTAAAAGTTTTCCTCGTAACCTCAACGAAAAGAAGTAAACCGTAAGCCGTAAAATGCCCATAATTTTAACCGTTCGCCGTGAAAGCCAACACCGCAATGAGAGCCTCAGTTAAGAGCCGTGAACTTTCTTGAAAGTGCTACAAATTCCGTACAAGCCTGAATCTTTTTCAGGCCTTATTTTCACTATTGCTCAAGTAGTGTTCATTACTACGAAGATCACTTTCATATTCAAGTCTTTATCCGCAGTTCAAACATGTGACTTTCATATATTCATAGTCGTTTATTCACAATTTCACGGGTTTATTTGGAACCAATATAATGACCAGCTCACAATTGGCTTGTTAGCTCAGTTGATAGAGCGCTGCATCGGTATCGCAGAGTTCATGGGTTCAAACCCGTACAGGCTTGAATCTTTTTCAGGCCTTAGACCTGCTCAAGTAGTGTTCATTACTGCGAAGATCCCTTTCATATTCACGTCTTCATCCGCAGTTCAAAAATGTGACTTTCATACATTCATAATCGTTTAAAAATAACTTTGTTCGTAACTACGTTCGTTCCCACGAGATGTCGTTGATTGATCCGAAAAACAAAACAAAAGGGAAGTCAACTTCCTGTGTGCATTCAGAACTCGCCTCAATTACACTTACTTCCCGCTGGGACAAAAGGTATTTCGTGACAAGAGCTTACGTTGGTTATTAGATTACTTAAGAAGTTCCGAATGCCTGAAGGTGGCAGTATGATTCAAAGTATATTTTGCGCGGAAAATGCTTCGCCTTACAACTATGTAGATTTATTTGTGACGAGTGGCAGTTATATCTCCCAATCTCTCCGTTGAATATTGAGTGACTCTTTTGGAAAGTCTAGAATTAACAGGTAGCGGCCGGTCGTCACAAATGACTTCATATTCACCCAACAGATCACCTTGATACTTTGCTGCGTTTCATTTTGAAGGTAAGATGTTTTAGTCATGCATTTAATGTTTTCGAACTAAATGATTTTCAGCTGCGCAATTCACACACCGAACTGTTTAAATGAATAGTTGAACTTGAATGACTACCTTACATCGAAGGATCGTTTTGGAATTGCTTAACCCTACTCATTTTGTTGTGGTAGAAACTGCACGTGTCAAGCAAATATGCTGGAGAGCATTCGAGTTCTACTCGGGGTGATTTGAATGTAGTATATGTCAATAAAAATTTGGTAGTCAAATTCAAACGATTATTCGGCTGGCGTGTGAAAGAACCAAATCTCTTTTCTAAGGGGGTGTATTATGACATAATATGACGTTTCGAAGTCGCGTAGTACAACCACAGGCCACCCAAGCTCACTTCTCGAGAAAAAACCCACGATTAATTCATGAAAGCGTTACGCGTTGTGTGACTCGGTGTTCAGTTACGAGGAACCGTTGAAAATTTGAACACGTTATAAGGAATAGTATGGAGAACGAAATATGGTCGATTTACAACGATAAATATTTCGAAATAGGAGGATTTTACGCGTAAAATCAATAAAACTTACTCACATCCTGTGTGTCCGTTGTAGTTTCTGGCGATTTCTGCTGTTTTAAGCTTGTTTTACCATCACTGTTATTCCTGTCAAAAGACGACGTGAAACTAAAAGGTGAAACTAAAACAGATAAACAACGGGCAAAATTTGAATATTATGTGGCGTTTGCTGTGAATACTTGAGCTTGATTATTTTCGCTAAAATGCTATCAAAGGGGAAGAGATGCGGTGAAACTGACCGCGAAACGAATTAGAAGAGAGTTAAGGGTGGCAAAGTTTCAAGATGAATATTCTAAGATTTTATTTTGGGAACTTTAGGGATGGATTATTCCTTTTAAAATCACGGGCAAAAAGCTCACATTAATAGAGAACAAATTTTCAAGTGCAAACCCAGGATAATCCAAGCTTAAGTGCTCACAGGAAACCCCACAGAATAATGAAATCTTGTCCGTTGTTTATCTGTTTTAGTTTCACCTCGCTGTCTGATTGGTTGATCAGGACATTATATTTAGGCGAGGTGTCTCTTTGAGGATGGGGTAAGTATTGTACATTAATCGAACGTACCACTCACGGTAGAGAGAAAATTGACCTCGCACCCAAGTCTCTTCCGCGGCTGTGCCCAGTCTGCTTGTTCAAAGCATAGCCAGAAAGAACTTGAAAATGCAGGTAAAAAACGCTCATTTCCAGCGAAATGCGCAGAGAAATTTGAGAGACGACAACATGTCACGTACATGAAATACGAGAATCCGAACAAAACCTCCACCTCCCCCTGAAATCTTACTCTCCCTGGTCCCTTGTATAATCAACCATCTCACGAAATGAAAAGCGAGAGTATGCTAATTATATTTTGTATTCCCTCAATACTAAAAGACTTAAAGAACTTTACAAAATGAACTGTCAAGTTACAAGAAATAATAAATAAATAAATGCCTCCATTGTTTAATACAGCAGTAAAAAATGTATGTACAATCAACACTTTTGAAAAATTGCTTAACATTTTATTTAGCGAAGTATACTGTAACATGTCGGCTTTACAACACTACTGTTTTCTGTAACTACAACTGATATGTCTCTATATGAAGTATTAAAGTTGTTTCCCCGCTAACCACTCGTATTTCGGTCTTTTTTTCTTTCCCCGCTCGTCGCCCGTGACGTAGTAACTCTCCAAATTTTCAACGGTTCCTCTCGTAACTTAACACCGAGTCACACAACGCGTGACGCTTTCATGAATTAATCGTTGGCTTTTTCTCGAGACGTGAGCTTGGGCCACCTGTGGTAATGTTTCATTACAACTCCATAGCGGATTAAATGTGACTTTCTGAAATGGGTGACACCGCTGGATTTTTTACCTCGAAGGCTCGGTTTATTCCTTTGGGCATTGCTTTCGGTGGCTGCCGAAAACGTGTCGGTTTTATTCGTTTCGAAAAAGGTGAGATATTTTGGAAGAAGACCAAAGGAACTGCGGAAGGTACTTCAAAAGACTTGGACAATAGTGTAATTAAGCTACCTTGCGCGAACAGACTTGTGATCTTGTATCCTTTTGTTTACATTGTCTTGAGATGAATGAACTCGAGATCGATTAACTGCAATCATTTGAATGGATTTAGTTTCTATTCACGGTGTATTTTTAGCCTTAATATGTTTTTAGGATTAAAGAGCGTCGCAAAAGATTTAAAAATGGATCTTGGACTAGTTGTTGTAATCACTGCGAAGAGCAAAAGCGAAAATAGTTTATCATTTCGAGCGCCGATCGTTTTGTTTTGATCCGAATCAAGCAGATTCCCGGGAGAGTTTATTTCATCTGTTAACAAAAGAAAAATATCTCACCTACATCAAAGAAGTTGCGCTCTTCACGATCTTCGGAAGCATGCCGGCATGTCGGCAAACTCATCGGAATGAATAAGTAATGAGAAAGAACAATAGCCTGAATATATGAATACTTAACAACCTCAATTTTTGAGGTACACATTTAATCCGCTATGGAGTTGTAATGTGCATGAATAGCACAATACTTGGGATCTGAGGGCACATGGTAGTTCGATAAGTTATATCTATGTTATGCATTACAATAAAAATACTTAGAACTAAAGCTGTATGATAAGGAAAGATCCCTAAAGTACAAAGATCAGAAAATTCTTGTAAAAAGAAAATCAACCTTTAAATAATTGTGAAGGAAACCGTTATTTCACCAGTTTCTTGAAATTGATGAGGCAGCTAAGCTTCTACCATAATTTTTTAAGTCTTTCTTTAAATCTGATGGCCCTCAAAACAAAAATAAATGGTCCAGTTCATTTTATGGGGCAATAGTAGTAAAAATATCTCTTCCAAGTTGGTGCCCTTATTTTGAAGCCATGCTTTGATTAAACATTTAACACAGGAAATAGTATCATGGCTATCATTGATGCTATGATAGTGGAAACTGGAAACAAGTCCTTGGAAATCTAGAGGGGAAACCTGAGACATAGTTGGGTATTTCACTTGTTGACTTGGTTAAAGGGATGAATCCAGGAAGGTAAAACTGTTGCTTAAGGGATAGGGATTTAATATTACTGATTAAATAAAACTGAAACTCAATTATAGTACCTTGTAAAACTACATATGTGCCCATTGTCTGTAAAATCATAATTGTTTAATTCCCATGTATGGTTTTGTGTTTGGGCAGTCTTAAGTCTAAAGGCCATAATGGTTCATGGTTAGGTGTGAGACACTTTGCAGACAAATTAAAGGTGAATTTACTTTGTGTTTAATGGCATTAATCCTTAAGTGTTCTCATTTTTCTTTTGTGCATTGGAATACAATTGAAGTCTTCATGTATTGATGCTTCTGGTAATAAATTTGAATTATTTTTCTTCTTTTCTTGTTTTTAAAGAAATGGGAACCAGTGGAGAAGGGACCAAATTTCAGTGCAAGGTCTGACCAATGTTCTTGCAATTTTTACTGATATTGCCAATTTATGGGTCAAATTCCCCCTTTTCCTAAGTTTCTGGAAATAGTTTTAACAATGTTTTGTTTACTTTTAATTCAAAGCTTGTAGGGATAACAGATGTCACTAGCCCAGAGGGTATGGATATGTGTGCAGAGGCTTTTGGGAAATTAAAGGTGCAGTGTATCTGTTCATGAGTCATGTTGATTCATGAACTTGAATCAAAGCTCAAATTTATTTTTTACCATAATGGCAATTATAAGTTGTTATATTTCTAAAGCACAACTTATAATATGCTATTATTATTGTTATTCCTTGAACATGCCACCATAATACTGCCTGAATTGCATATTATAACCTACCAGTAAGTGCTAAAACTTCTCAGTATACTTACCACAAGTAAGTCTGCCAATATGGCAAATTGATACTGCCTAATTGATCATGAAAGCTTGTCATAAACTGCCATTCATTCAGCCCAATTTGGTACTTGGCCCCTTCTCTACCGCCTTACCCCAATGCACAGCAATATCTTTTGCTTTTCCCTCTGGTAACATAGTAATCCTCTTAGTCCTGGAATGCTGACTGGTAATGATGTCTGTGTTTTATTATTATTATTATTAATATTATGATTGTTACTTAAACTAGGCTCAGGCAAAGAAAAAGTGGCTGCACAAAGAGAGGGTGACACTGACTGTTATTAGTTTGGAAGGTATCAGGATAGAAGATGAGACTTCTCAAGTAAGTGTGCAAATAAGTCAAATATTATTTAACCACCTTGTGATCACCATAGACACAGTGACATATAAGCTGCACCCATGGGTGTGCAACTTAAATTTTGGTTAAGGGAGTTTTTTTTTCTAAAATTGGGAAATTAAAATGCCAAGTAAAACTATGCAGTATATTTCTATCTCTACATCTTATCCAATATATTTTTTTTGATTAATATCAGTATCTGGGCAACTGCCCACCTACCCCTCCCCTAACCCAACATTAACCTGAACTTGTTATCAATTGACTGTTGCTGAGTTAGGGGAGGGGTAGGTGGGCAGTTGCCCAGATACTGATATTGATCCGTTTTTTTTTTTTTTTTTAAAAAAAAAAAAAAAAAGGAATAAGTTAACACTTAAATCTCATCAAAATACTGCTTTCACTTTTCCCATCTAATTCTAAAGAGAATTTTCAAGGGGCAGTATATGGTTCAAATGTTTTGTTACATGTTACAGTACATTTTCTTTATCAATTTACCCGTTGAAATATCTATTTATTTACTTATTTATTCATTTATTCACTCGAGTCAAAAATAGCTGGAGAGTACTGAACAAAGGAAGGGCTAAACAACAGAAGGGAAAGATTCAATGAAATCTCCAGGTGCCCTTTCCATCTCAGTGCTTTTTGAGTTTTTTATAGGTTTTACTGTTTTTTTTTTTTTGTTTTAGAAAGTGAAGCATATGCATCCTGTCAAGAGAATAACATTTGTCATTCCTGACCCGGATGATAGGAAAATATTTGGTTATGTTTTCAGTCAACCTGATTGTTCCACTGGACATAAATTTTATGCCCTGAAGTCAGAAAATGTAAGAGGGACTAAAAAAAATTGTTTGCTTTGTTAAATGAAATACAAAAAATGCATTGGCTAGTTGTAGGAGACGTGATGCATGGACTTGGTTTGAGACATGTCTTGTTCACTGAGTTGTGTTACTATTGGGATCTGATGTCTCACACTCGCAATGTCTCTCTCTGCTGAGGAACATATGGAGGTATTACAAAACTGCTAAAGAATTAACTAAGCATTAATCCTCACCCTGGCTGAATTAACATTTAACCAAGGTAAGGATGCATACAGTGCCCCTGGTTATGTCATATGCTCATGAAAGTGGAATGAGCATCTGGATCAAGCTCCAGAAGCAAGGGCTATGGGCTTGACAGCAGACTAATCTTATAACCAGTAACTAATAGTTGGTTTCAGTTATACATATGTCATCACACTTTATAAGGAAAAGGTATGCAAGTCTACTGTCTACTGTTCAAAGAGATACACAAGGGAATGTATTTCATATCTAATTATGACAATACAAATGGAGATACAAATTAATTCTGAGTCATCTAAAAATAAAACTGATGTCCTTTTCCTACATTCTCTTTTCTGTATGACATTTGGATTCAATTTTTTAATAATTGAAGGGAATTTCTAAGTCAGCAAAAAAAAGTTTCAAAAATTGAGCTACCCAAAAATTTCCTGTTTCAGTTAATTTATTGCATGTGTTTTTGTGCCTTTCTGAGAGTAGCATTTCCTGTTGAAAAGAAGTCATTGAGGAGAAAAATTTTTGTCAGGGAACAATGCAAATTGTATCTTGTTGAAGAGGAAAAATACTTTAAATCTACTTTACAATAGTGCACTTTGATTTGAAGGCTTGTAAGACTTCTCTGCAAATTCTTAGTCTCCAATTCATATATGCGAATAAACATTTTCATAACATTTAATCTCAATTATTGCCCATAAGTACTCACAAATATTGATAATTCTAAGCATGTGTTATTATTTCTTTCAGGCAAAGGTCATAGTTGATGCCATTATTGAACTTTTTGTGGAATCAGTTAATCTTAGACAAAGAGCTGGATTAGCAAAGGAGCAGGTCCCCAGAAATTCATCAAATGGTACTGACTGCAGAACCATTGATTTTGTTGAATGATTATAACAACTGTAAGAAGGCTGTTCCACAAAAATAAGCGTTTAGAAATAACTCGTATGTACTGGTCCCATCTTTATATTTTTATTTTAAAGCTACCATGATATATGCTATATTGTATGATGTTATAATAGTGTGTTCATGAGAAAGTAAGTTTGTTATTGACTGACAATGACTGATAAGTTAAGGGAATTTCACTCTTTCAACGATCCTACTAATCATTACCTTCTCTTTTGAAGAATGAGGTGATTCTTAGGGAAGTACTCTACTCGACTTGAGTAGAGTCCTGCCTCATTTTGCATCTGAGTGACGTCATCCGTATCATAATCACTAGCAGTTCAGTGTAATTTTTTTTCCAATGAAGAAGTCCACTCTTTTCTACTTTTCCAGTCTGCTTTCTTTAGCTTTTAACACGAACTAAACGTGCGAGAGATTCCTGTTATCTTACTGTCGTAAACTGTATCTTTCCTAGAGGAAAGTACGCCTGATAAACAACACATGTCTCTACTATGTGGAACTTTTTTTAAAAATGGTAAGCTATAGTGAGCAGCACTGCACGAGCTAAAATAGGAATAACTTGGTTCTTCCTGTAATTCGTACTCGTGTTACATGAAAAATTCACTCGTTTTCCGCCAATCAGACGCGCTTAATTTTTTCATGCATAACATTATTATTAATAGCATTAGCTCATTTTGAAGACAACTTCCGTTTGGTTCGGTCATAGTCTTGTATCCAGACCTTTCACGGCCAAGTAGTTGAAAGGTCCCCACATTTCAGTTACGGTTAAACGGTAGAATCTGAATGCGAGATTAGTTCGGTCAGTCTTTTGAATCTCTAATCGCGGTTAGTAGTAACTGGTTGGCACGCACTTTTGCTAAGATAGAGGTCATTTGCATGCAGCCAAGGATCTTCTTCCGCTGAGCCCTTGCTTATGTAAATACGCAGTACGTTTAGAGAGCCAACATTTTTTTTTGGCTGTGTGCTACTGTGTTTATTTTTTGTTTTTTTTTTAATTAAAAAAAGAGTAATTCTATGTTTGCGTATAAAGTGTTATGTTGCTCGCACCAATCAGATCGCCGCGTCAGGATTTGTATCTCGCACCAATCAGATTGCCGCATTAGGGTATTATCTCGCACCAATCAGATTTCTTCATTAGGGTATATTCCTCGCATAATCATATGACAGCATTTGAATATCTTGCACTAATCATAGCGTTTGGTATTGCTTTGTTATAAATGATGTCATGGATCAGGGAGCTGTGCACAAAAAATGACATAAAGCAGAAATTTTGGGCTCATTTGTTAAGTGTAATGGTTTGTGGCCTTCGCGAGAGCCTCGTCGATTAAGGTCGAGAATAATCGGGATATGAAAGGTTCGCATTTAAATTTTTAATTTAACTCGTGAGCGAAATCTCTTTCGCAACCGTTATTTGGTCTCGTCACGCAGTGGCTCTCCCTTCAATGGGGAATAGAGGGCGTTGAATGACAAGACCAAGTGACGGCTGCGAAGGCGGTTATAGTAAGCGTGGCACTGATGCATTTTATTTTTGCTCAGAGTTAGTTAGAGAGTAGAGACAATAGACCACAAAATACCTGTGTGAGTTTGCATAAATTATGTTTTTTATCTTTCTCTTAAAGCGAAGTAATGCGATATTTTCGTTCTTCTGAAAGTTATGAAAATATTAGAAACACAAAGTGTACCATTTCGACCTACTCAACTGAAAAAAATAATTCTTGCATGTTACACATGCCTATGTTTTCTTTTTCCCACGAGAATTTCTCAAGTGGGTGCTGTGGTGAATTCGGTATATTTCTTGACTTCCAGAAGTAAACGAAATTCTGTCGATTTTTTTCGCTAGAGAACCAGACCGAGCAACAAGAAACGAGAGCTCGTTTATCCAACTTACAGGAACAGCTCAGGGAAAAAGATGACCAGTTGTGAGAGAAGGAAGGGATAAATCTAAACCTGAAAACTCGCTTGAATACAGAAAATCAACAACTGGAAGAGAAAATTAGACAGGAAGAGAATTCAAACCAAAAAAAAGAAAAGAAAGAGGATCGAGTTGAGAATTTACGAACGAACCTGAAAGATGTTGAGCAACGATTAACGCAGAAAGAGGCACAAGAAGAAAATTTACGATCAGACCTAGAGCAGATGGAGCAAAGGATGAAAAAAGAATTAACACAAAAGGAAACAAGAGAAAATGAGTTGCGTGACCAGCTTAGGGAAAGGAAGGAGCAGGCTGTTGACTGTCAGAGACATTTGAGCGGGATGGAACAGCAATTGTCAGAAAAAAACAACCAAAAGGAAACTTTATTGAGACAACTTAGAGAAATGGAACAACGATCGAGAGAGGTTACAGCGGAGAATGAGATGAGAGAAAACGAGTTTCGTGAACAAATCAGAGAGAGAGAGCAAGAACTGAGGGAGATGGCACATCAGTTAACTGCGAAGGAGCAAAAAGAGGAGAACTTACGCATGCAAATGGATGGAATGGAACAGCAATTGTCAGAAAAAAACAACCAAAAGGAAACTTTATTGAGACAACTTAGAGAGATGGAACAACGATCGAGAGAGGTTACAGTGGAGAATGAGATGAGAGAAAACGAGTTTCGTGAACAACTCAGAGAGAGAGAGCAAGAACTGAGGGAGTTGGCACATCAGTTAACTGCGAAGGAGCAACAAGAGGAGAACTTACGCGTGCAAATAAGGATGCACTTAATGGAACAACGGCTGAGAGAAGAAATGATAGAAGAAGCTACTAGGCTTGGTGAGCAGCTTAGAGAAAGGGATCAACAAATAGAAAACTTTCAGATGCAGTTGCAAGAGTTACGTGAACAACTCAGAGAAAAGGATCAGCATTTAGCAAACGTTCGAACGCAGATGGAAGAGCAAGAACTACCCAGGAAAGATTTTCGGCACCAACTTGGAGAAATTGTAGCAGAAAATGCAAATCTACGACAACAGCTTGTTAACCTCGAGAATCAAACCGGATCACAGTCCAATGATTGGGTAATTTCCCGGGTTGATATTCAGTTGACTGGTAAAAGCCTTGGAGTTGGAGGGTGGGGCGAGGTTTTCGAGGGCAGGTACTGTGACTGTTCTGTTGCTGTGAAGCGAATCCATGAGGCAATTAATTCGCCTCACAACCTGAGTTTGTTCCACAGAGAAATTGATATTGCTTCAAGATGCCGACACCCTTGCTTGCTACAGTTTATCGGAGCGACTGATGACGAGGAAATTCCATTGTTTGTTACTGAGCTAATGGAATCAAATTTGCGCGAGCTACTGGGACAACGACCTCTTTCGCGCAAGGAAATCACCGTCATTTCGCTCGATGTGGCTCGAGCGTTGAACTACCTCCACCAAAAGAAACCTTTTCCCATTTTTCACCGCGATGTTAGTAGCGGCAATGTGCTGCTATGGCGACAGGCTAGCCAGTGGCGAGGCAAAGTGTCAGATTATGGTTCTGCTAAGTTTGAGGAACGGTTCATGTCAATTGGCCCAGGATGTTTCGCCTACAGTGCGCCTGAAGCGCAGAGACCAGCAAAGCATACAGCAAAGGTGAGAAAATAAGCTTACAGAATTCCTTGGAGACACTTTTTACATGAACCCTTTACAATTAAGGATTAAACGGTATTTGTGTAACTTAGTCTTAAGTCGTGTGGTCGGTCGACGCAAAACGGCAAAGTTTGTTCAGTCTACATAAAACGGCAAAGTGTGCTCAGTCTACACAAACGGCAAAGTATGCTCAGTCTACACAAACGGCAGAGTGTGCTGGGTCTACACAAACGGTAAAGTGTGCTCAGTCTACACAAACGGCAAAGTTTGCTCCGTCTACACAAACGGCAAAGAGCTTGTGAAAACAACAATCTTATTTCACTGTCTTTTCTTGTCCTGCTTTTTAGATTGATGTCTACAGTTTCGGTGTTCTCCTCTGTGAAATGTGCATTCAGACATTCCCAGATTATCAAAACCGTGAACGTCAAATCGCTCAGATGACAGACCAGCTATTGCAAGACCTCGTCCGCCGATGTGTGCGGTATGATCCCATTGAAAGACCAGACATGACAGAGATTATCAGTACATTGGAAGAGTTCAATAAAACGTTGTAAGTTTGTCGGGGCATGTTTTTTTTAAACCATTATCATTGTCAATTGTCAAGTTTATGGATGAAGAGAAAGCAAGACTTAAGAAAAAAACTTCGAAATTCAACAACATTTATTCGCACATACAGCTGGGTTAAGTATTTTGTTAGAAAAGTATATAAACAAATCTTACAATGTCAACATCAAATGATGTTGTCCTCGACTCTTTGAATTATCCAAGAGTCCGTTCATACTCAGTCAGGAGCAGTGTACGCGTTGGCTTTATAAAGAAGTGCATAAATTTTTATCATAACCGTAGAACAATTGATTGTCACCGAGTAAAATAATTTCTCCGTGTGCATAAATGTAAGCGATAACTATCCAGCTGCAGAGCAGTTATATTAGGCTGTGACATGCAATCCCAGAGTCTCAATCTGCAAAACACGACGAGTGAAAACAAAAAAAACCCTAGGGGAAAGAACTTATTCAGGAATTTTGTGTAAGCATATTCAGTTTGGACCCAAGGCAATACTCTACGTGTCTTTTTGTTGGATTGATTTTAAAATAGTACCAATAACCAGGTTCAGAATGGTTCGTCCCAGTCTTGGATTTGTTCCCTCCCACATAGTATCAAGTTAAAATTTGCTGACACTTAGTCGTTGATTTGTATTTGAGCTATCTGCAATTTTTGGTGGTTTGAAAACTGATACCGCTACCGCGAAACCTTGTTTTTGTCTTGGTACTTCAGTTCAATCACATACGCTCATCACCAACTGATACAGGGTGGTGCAACTGAATCATTAGTTAAGAGTCATTAGGAGAATTAAGAGTCAGTATTCATTGATAGCATTGTAATATATCCGTACATGTTATGGTAATTTAAAAAAAATGTCCAATAAATTTTAATTTGTCCACCAGCAAATTTTTTTCTTTTTGTACTATCTGCTCGTTTACCACTCTTGGTCTTATACTTAGATGCGTTTTCCTAAGGTTCTTATGTAAACGAGTTGCCCGCGGGTTGCAAAGAAAACTGAGTACTCAGATGAGTAAACTTTTAGATATAAATTTCTGAACTCCATATTCAGAAAGAAGGAACAGAACTCCTGAGCTTCGCAATTTGCGTTTCAATGAGAGTTCAGCGGTAAGATAGAAAAACCGCTAGAATAGCTTAGGATGCGACAAGCGTTTTGCTTCCCTCGAGGATGATGTGCAATGCCGCAAACATTATGTGAGTGAAAAGAATAAGAAAGCGAAGGGCATATGTTTAGTTAAATTGTCTAATGAGGAAAGATGTTACTCGTTTTGTTACGAGAATGGTACTGGAAAACAGTCTTCTTTCCTAGTGGAATGGGGCGCTTCACTTGAAAGGGTTTTCTGTTTCGTGCTTAGGGGTGAAACCAAGGGTCAAAAATATCTCACGAGTTAAGGTCCAGAAAATTATTCCTTGCATGTATCGATGGTATTGAGAACTTTGTAGCAACAGCAGACTTGCATAGCCCAAGTTTTGGGGCTGTGATTAACTCTTTTACTCCCAAGATCTCAATAGTAATTCTCCTTACTGTCTGCCGTACATTTCTTATGAGGTTAGTTTGGGGAATCTAGTCTTGAATCAACTAATGATCCCCAGTTTTATATTTACGTATATTCTCATCGCTTGTTTGCATTATATTGTATTGATATTGTGAGGAGAAATTCTGTCTTGGTCACTCATGAGAGTTTAAAAGCCCCGCGTTGAAATTTACCCTTCAGCAGTTTAGGAAGTCATCAATCTCTGCGTCGGGATAAATTTTGGTCACGTTAAAAGCAACCGATTTATTGTCTAAAGCGTATATCCAATATTGTTCATTATTGAAAAATTTTGATTTTAAAGCTGTGGAAAAGGTGACGGCACGATAGAAAAAGGAATAGAGTTCTCATGCTATAAGTAAACATAAAATGAAAGAGTTGTAGGAGGGTTGAACTTGCTGAGTGTGTCAGGTCTGGAGACAAATATGAAGAACTCGAGAAACATACCACGTCTTAAACTAATCACTAACGACTTTTTTCCTCATCATAACTTATGACGAATGCGCAGAGAACCCTCTACTGACTGTCACGAAAGTCACCATTTAGTCTCGTGAATGTAATCTTTTATCAATCAATTTTTGATACTATGCCTAGAGCCCCTTTAGTTTGATCCTTCACTGACTCCTTGCCTTGGCTTAATATCTTCGTTGAAAAGAAGTAATATACAAAAGTTAACCCAGAAGATTAGGTAGGAGACAACTTGTTTTATTTCAGGAGCGAATAAATTTATTTGAAATTGTGCTTGCTAAAGGACATGTGCACCTCCCGAAAACAATACTAGCACTGTTAGTCCATAAAGGCTCTTGGATTCACGCAATTATCAATTCATCATAAGGGCAGCATTTTTTCATGACTGCGTTACTTTGTGTACATTCTCTGTTACGATCCATGAGCGGAAAATCTCTTACGGCAATGAGTCACAAAGTGGTTGCGGACACACCACGAACATAAATCAGTGTTCACCTTCTTATTCGCTGAGATGACTGTACTCGTTCATTTAGATGGTTGACAATCGTAGCAGTCATAGCAAGAGTCACAGCTGAGGTCAATTGACATCAAGCACAGTTGCAAAATGTTTAATCAAAGGTAAATTTATATCCGTTAAAACGCTTCAGTAAATAACAATAATTGTGTCATAAAGGTCAAAGTTGTTTGTCGTAGCTCTTTCGAATTGTCACGCTAATACGCTTATCTCAGTATATGCTTAGCAGTTGTTTAGTACGAAAGTTACATAAGAGTCTCCGTCGTTTTTCTAAGAAAAGTCGTAAATGAGACTTTTCATGAGTTACTTATCTTCCTCATCCCGACGCGGTTGACTAAGTGAAACATCGACGTAGGAAGTACTGAAGGACAGAGAACCTTAATCTCTTTCCTTAGAGAAGCTACTTTCGCTTTCATCTCGTACGACCAGACTAATCAGAAATTATTTCTGCAAGTTGCAGAATGGAAATTGACAATGTTCAGAAGGAGAAACCCCGAGATAAACACTCCGAGTACTACATCGTCCGCTTTGATCCATTTCAGGAGCTGATTCAGGGAGAGTTATTGCAAACTTTATCAAGCTCATACGATTTTAATGTGAAATCATTTGTCCCTGTTTACCCTGCTTGCCAAGGAGGGCATAAGACGAGGGTAATAGTACGTTCCACCAGCAACGAAGCATTTACCCGACTCTCAAACGAAGATGCTAATTTACTTTTGCCTTGTTCCTCACCTGAATCAAGGTATCAAGTACTTAGTCAGCAAGGAATGGTTGTATTTGGCCGACGTCTTCAGCCGGGAACGGAAGTGCTTGTCTCCGTTAAAGAATGCCCATGGAGTTTAAATGACGAGTTTATGAGTGCTATCGTGAAGTACAAGGGTGAATTGCCGTCTGAAACTGGAACCTTTTTCGGTTTGGAATTGAAGAGTGTAAGTAGCTCTTAGATCATAAGAGGAACTTTGAGGAACTAGGAATTTACAATTTGGAAGATATTTGTATCCGTATGACAACTACGTAGGCAGACAGCCCGTTCATGCGGGGGAAAACTACCTAAGTATCAGATTTCAAACATCTTTCCCCGAGCAGAAAAGATTACTGTGCCATCTTTGCTTATTGGCCAATTTATCAATATCCCATTTCCATCACGGTCTCAGCATCAAATCAGTACTAGAATTTGAGCAATTTTATGCGTTGTACCGTATCTGCTTATTATCTTAAAGAAACAGAACTTCAGTGGTTTATGTTTCGTTTTAGTGATAAGTCAGGTTAATCCTAAGCAATTTGAACATCAAAGTAAAATACAGTTAGTATCATATTTGATTGGATCAGTGAGAGCGAGACCGCATCAAAGAGATCAAACCGGAGAGTGTGGATAACAATCGTCCACTTAAATTTTTGCTTTAACATCGTATCTCCGAAAACACTGTGTAGTCTCTTGTCTCTGTACCGGCGATGTCACTCTCATATGCCCCTAGTTTGTACCTTTTCGATCATTTTCACCACCTTCCATTTCATGTTCACAAAAACTCAGACTGGACAATTACAGGAACCGGAAGTTGTTAAGGACGATCAAAATTTATTATCATGCAGCAAATTCATTCATTTTTGATCATTGATATTAAAATCGTTGTTATTAATTACCGCTGATTTGGGTTTTTTAAAACTATTTTCTGTCGAAACAATCGAATATTCTCAGTTTCTTTATGGCAGATTTTTATTGATGAGGGCCTCATTAATCAGTTAAGATCTGCAAATGGAAACTGCACGTTGATTTTTAAATATTCATCAATGTAATCTGCAATATCCCGTATTCCCCTGACATTTTCCATCGGAATACTTAATGATTCACTTATTTTCTTGATCGTATCAACTGCGCAAACAATTCCAGTTTTGTAACTGCCACAATCTGCTTTCTGACCCTTATCCAGAGCAACCATGCAAAGGGAAATTCTGTCGGCAGTCATTCAGCAAAACCGTCTTTCTCTTGGGCATCACCAACTGGTATTTTTGTTGGACTGGACAGGCTAAAGCCTTTACACTTAGATGCAGAAGAACCTGACTATCCAGAACCAAGGGAATTCCAAGCTTATAAAATACACCTACAGTCTGTTACAAGAAGGCATGATCCACTTCATATACCCCAAAAGAGAGCTGACAAAGCATCAGTACAGACTGGTAAAAACATCGTGACTCTTGTCGTGGATGTTCCATCCAGAGAAACTAAACTACAAAAGAATAAAGAGGGATCTATAGAGATAGGCCTGCCTCTGGTAAGATACATTACATTTCACTTTGTTTGTTCTGTTTTATTAACCCTTGACAACCGAACATCAGTTTGCATATTTTACATACTTTCTCTCTACATTTCTTACGGTTCCGAAAAGGAGAATTTGTTGAACAATCGAGAGCGTCTTTAGTTGTTGATCATTTCAATTAATGTCTTTCACACGAACTTAATGTTTTATCCAGGGGTGATGTTGTAAGGAGAAATTACATGCCAATCACTCTTAGGGGTTTAAGGGTTAAACTATTGGAGGTGAAATTTGTGTGAATGAATTTGTCGGCTAAAAACAGACAACGATTCTTCTCAAGTATCCTATGTGAGTTTACCCTTGAAGGTAATTAGTTGGCATAAATCTTCAGGGAAAAAATAATATTCTAGCATAAAATTTTCATTCAGTGTTTTAGTTCTTCTAAGTATAATCAGATTGCCATGTAAACATTAAAGCATTATATAGCATATCTTAACGTTTTTCAAACAAGGCTCCCTCGTAATGGCTCATGCGGGTATTCCCAGCCATCAGGTATCAGCACTTTTCCCTCTTACCCATCCCCTTCAAATTTTTTTCATTTATACTCGGCATTCCCTTTGGCAATCAAGACATGTGAAACAGCTTTATTTATTCACAAATGAAATAGTCTCTGTGATACTTTTGTACCGAACGGTTTGAGTTATGGTTTGGTTTTTTCCCCTCAGGATGAGAGGGCTGCTACAGCTGAAACTGGAAAAGGAAATGCTAAGAAGTTGTTAAGGAATGAAGAGCAAATTGAGGAAATTGAAACACACCCTGATACAAAGTCATCAGGTAAGCACAATATGCCACAAATTGTTTAACAAGTGATGATCTATGGGACTCGATAAAAAACTTGGTGAATCAGTTTTTTTCGGCGGCTGTACATTCTTTTTGTAGACCATGAACACTATGTTTATGGTTAGGTTGTACTTCTTTCCTGGATTAAATGAAAAGACCTATTTAATGTGCACTTCAAGTAACTCAATTTCCAGCTATTTTTTACATACCTTATTTACTTGATTTAAACTCTCCCGCGATTGGAAGCAAATTGACCAATGAACACCACCCTCGAATAAATGCCACGTCTAATCAATCAGACAAACGAGGAGTTTATTTCAAGTTTGAAAACTCTAAGAAAACAAAATATCAAGGAGGTTTCAACCCAGTAATCTACTCAATCAAAAAATGCAAGGGAAGGGAACTTATTACAGATGTTGTTTACAGAAATTTACCAAAGTCAGTCACCAAAGAAATCTGGTCAGTTTGAAGAAAAGGCCACCCTCGAAACGCCAAAAGTCTTATAAAATTGCTGAGAGTATTTTTATCAAATGTGGGAGGCACTTCCATAATTACGTAATAGACCAAGGAACCATCAGATGATTCAACTTATCAATCTTCCATGAGTTTTTGCTAATACGATCCCTTCCAGTATTAACGGTATGGGGAGGTTGAACTTGCTTGAGATCATGGAATACCAAAAGAGCCAGGCCACCAAGCTATTAGTCATTATCTATCGCCGGTGGGGGGGATGGGTGAGGGGGGAAGAAGAGTTTGATTGTGTCGCGATAAAATTTACCCCATAACTGGCTATGTGATATTCTTATGATCCCCCTTCATTGCCAGCAGTTAATAGACAGTCGATGCTAAGTAGTCCCCCCCCAAATCCTCCCCACCTCCCATGGTAATAGATAATAAATGATAATAAATGATTTTTTTGGAAGAACCTCTTCCATTATTACTGACTTGAATACTTTAATCGTCGCCTATAGTGTTTAAAACTTTCTATAAATTTTGAATAAAACCGACTCTCTTTTAGAGCATCAAGGAATCTATTCAGTTGTGCAGTCGGCGGAAATAAGACTAGTAGAAAATCAGCCGAACACATCCAAAAGAAGAAAAGAGAAAACGAACCAAGAAAAGGAGCCTAGACAGAAAGAGGTACGAGAAGAAATGTTTCGAACAGACTTGAGAAAAATGGAGCAGAGGATAAGAAGTCAATCGGAAATAGAATCGACAGTAACTGCGTTAATCCGACAGCTCGAGGAAGGGGACCGGCGAGTGATTACTCTTCAGAAGCAACTAAGGGAGACGAATCAACAGTGTTTAGAAAGAGAGGAACGAGTAGAAATCTTACGAACAGACTTGAATGAGGTGAAGCGCGAGTTAAAAAATAAAATGATGGTGAATGAGGCAAGAGAAAATGAGTTGCATCAACAGCTCGAAGAAAGGGATCAGCAAATAGAAAACCTTCAGATACAACTGCGGAAGCTGGAACGGCAGCTGAGAGAGAAAGACAAAAGAGAAGAACTATTACAAAGAGATCTAAAAGAGATGGAGCAACAATTGCAAAACGAAATGACGAAGAAAGAGTCGAAAGAAAGGTACCTACATAAACAGCTGCAAGGAAGAGATCAGTATATAGAAGACATTCAAGAAAAACTGAGGGAGATGGGACAACAGTTGAGACAGGAAGAAGAACGAGATGAAATTTTCCAGGTGCAGCTTAAAGAGATGGAACGACGACTGAAAGAGGAAGAAACTACGTTTAATATACGGCTCAAAGATAAAAACCAGCAAATAGAGAACTTGCAGAAACAGTTGGCTGAGAAAGAAGAACGAGAGCAAAGGTGGAAAGAAAAAATAAAGAAAACTGAAACGAGAGAAACATGGTTTCGTGATCAGCTTATTGAAAGAACCCAACGAGTATCAAACATTCAAAGAAAGTTGAGTAGAAAGGAGCTGGAGTGCAGAGAGAAAGAAGAACGAGAAGAAAATTTACGAACACATCTTGGCGAGTTACAGCAGCAGTTACGGGAAAGGGAAAATTTGCAGAGACAGGTCACGGAGATGGAAGACCGATGGAGGAATGCTCAACGACAACTTGCAGAGAGAGAAGGGGAAAGTGCTAATTTAAGGCAACAAGTTGCGAATCTGGAGGATAAATTGGAGTCACAGTTCTGCGACTGGATTATCCCTCGAGATGAGATTCAAATATCGGATATCACTCTTGGAGCTGGAGGCTGGGCAGAGGTGTTTGAAGGCAGGTATTGTGGGTGCTCCGTCGCTGTCAAACAAATGCACGAAACCATCGTTTCTCCTCACAACCAGAGTGTGTTCTGGCGAGAGATTGACATCGCCTCAAGATGCCGCCATCCTTGCTTACTGCAGTTTATCGGAGCAACTAACGACGAGGGAATTCCCCTCTATGTCACGGAGCTCATGGAAACAAGTTTGAGGCAACGGTTAGAGGAGCGACCTCTTTCCAAGGCCGAAATATCTGTTATTGCTCTGGATGTGGCTCAAGCTTTAAACTACCTTCACCAAAAGAAACCTTCTCCGATTATCCACCGTGACATCAGCAGTGGCAATGTGTTGCTATGGCGACAAGGTAATCGATGGCGAGGGAAAGTTTCTGATTACGGCGCCGCCAAATTCAAGGAAAAGAAGATGTCAATTGGTCCTGGCTGTTTTGCCTACAGCGCTCCCGAAGTAAATAAATCTTCGAATCAGACGGCGAAGGTTAGGAGATATATAATGCACCTATTTGCCTTAATGCGTAACTTACATGCAACCACCATTGCCCTTGTCGTATGGATAAGTTACTGAGTTACATAGCAATAGTTTTCGATACTATTTAAAGCGGTAAAAGAGTGATAAAAGAGAAAGTTGATGAGACACTTGAATAAAAGAATTCGTAAAGTCGTTAACGCGGGAACACATTTCCTTGAACAGCTTACCAACAAATATTTCCTGTTTAATTGGAAAGGAAAAGATGTCTTGTTGTCTCAGGCTCTCAAATGAAGTAGTTAAAGTACATTGGAGTGGTAATTTAAATGGAATGATATGATGGATTGTTTATCATACAGATGGAATGATAATTTAGCTCTTTTAGCTCGCATTTACATTTTGTAAATGTGACAAAAAGGTTACTTTCAATGATTTAGAAAAAAACAAGTTACCTTTTTGTTAAAACCAAGGGAAGAAATATTCTTTAAATGCGCAGATCTTTTTAAATTTCGTCCATCTGTCTATTTTTGCATGGTTAATCACTCTATAATACTGCCGAGTGATTTCTATCACTCGGTAGAATAAGTATGCAGTTCCCTTTGACAAGCGATAATAACAAGGCCGTAAAGATAGCCAATTATAGTCAACCCTTTACATCAGTTCAGTCTTAAGAACTTTGCTAAGTACAAGAAATAGTTACTAAAAATCTCGTTACACTAATCAAAGACCTAGCCGAGCATCTAGAACAAAGATCAAGATTTGAACAACCTTGAAGGGCGATTATAAAACACAAACGCACAGCATTGTACCGTGAACGACAGCAAGTCGCTTCCACAAACTCTCTTGATCGTGCCTGGTATTCGTTTCAAGGGGAGGGAAAGTATTCCAGATTCAATAATATTTAAATTATTCCCGAGACCCGAATGATAATTAATTTTGGTTTAATTTTTTTGTTGCTGTTTTTTTTTTTAAGATTGATGTCTACAGTTTCGGTGTTCTCCTGTGTGAAATGTGCTCCTTTAAGCAGTTTCCAGACCCACAAAAGCGCCTAGCGCAAGTAAATATGGTAAGAGACCATGGCCTGCGACAACTCGTGCGTCGATGTCTGAAGACAAATCCCAGGGAAAGACCAGACATGACAGAGATCATAAGTGAACTGGAGAGGTTGCGTTGAAAGCGACAGTTAGGTCATAGCCTTTTTATTCGATGCCTGGCTTTGCAAGTTCTCTCGTATCTTGTTGTCGTGAGACTTGCCGTGAGACTCTATAATGGTTCATACTTTTGCAGGAAGACTATTTTCGGGCTATGTCTATGTGGAATTATTTGGTAACGATATTGAGCAAATATGATAACAATTATAAATTTTCTTTGATAGATATAGAAAAGAAACCTTATTTTCAACATGTCATTACTTAATAGATGCTGCTTTGAGGAAGCATATAAAAGCGTACAAATGTAAATTGTAAAGCGGTTTATGGTGCAAACAGGTTCTCTGGTGTTTAAATTTGGATCGCAAAATTTATGCGTATTCCATGCGAAAACACGTTTGCGCTTTGCCAACTCTTGGATCAAAGTTTTGGATGTAGAAATAGTAAAAAGAAAAGCCATCCAATAGTCAAGAAAAGAGAGGATATTGTTTTGTTATCACGGAGGTTAATGTTTTAAGACATCATAGAGTTGCGTAAGAGTGTAGTGACTGCCGTCATTTAGCAGATATGGTTCACTTCGAATTATGTTTCCTAAACGTTGGTTTGCAGTAAGAACCTGCGTTAAAGAATCTATCAGTTAGGCTAAGATGTTCATTTTTACCTCTTTTTATACGAATGGACCTGTTTTCAACTTTAAATTAACATTTAAAATAACATTAAAATAACATTTAAAACGGGTTTTTATTTAATGATAGCGGGTTTTTTATTTTTTTTTATTAGAAAAAATAACATCTATGTTAGTGTACAGAGAGTGGTATGTTGCTCGCACCAATCAGATCGTTTAGCGTAAGTATCTCGCACCAATCAGATCGCTGCATTAGGGTATGTATTTCGCACCAAACAGCGTCGTTTTTGTTGCGCTCTTTGGTATGCTCTTGCATGCATAGCATGCCTATATATGTTTATCTAATGATAACGAGTTTTTACGGTTTGTGTCACAAAGTAGTAATTTCTGGTGTGGATCGCGGAATTTCGACCGCATACTGCCAGTCTTCCTCAAGTGATGAGTACGGATATGATTACTTAGTTTTTCAACATTGTAAATTACGAATTTCGATTATCTTTCTTTCAGCTCTGCGCTGTCGTAAGGCTTCCTTCCTGAAGGGTTCTTATCTTTTTCTCATAAGTGATACATAGAGAATAATACATGGGCGCGCATAGATATGGAATTTCTCTTCGAGTGTTCGACTCGATAGCTCACGAGTGAGCGCAGCGAACGAGTGAGATGTCGAGTTGAACACAAGAGGAGGAATTTCACATCTCCAAGCAACCATGTATTATTTTGTTTATCATATAAACACAACAGCCCTTTACTAACAACAAAAGTCGACTTTATTGATAAATGAAAATAAAGGGATCGACAATCACCGAATAAAAATTGTGAAGTGCATTGGCGTTAAGGCTCAAGATGAAAAAATGCGTTGAAAAACCAAACCATGGGCGTAATTTTCAACTTACAAAATTCTCAGTTTTCGACTTAGTCCTTACCGACAGAAGAAATCTTTCAGGTACACGGCCAAAATCAGCCTGTTAGAAATCTTCCAGTTGTCGATTTTCGTTGTCAGCCGTGAAAAATGCCATTATTAAAGCCACTGAATACGTAACTATCGGTTTTTCTTTCCGGACATTGTCTTCTAGAAAAGTTTGAACGTCACTGTCTGTAAGCAATACGGACTTTTGAGTGTTTTAGCAGCCATAATCCGAAAAAATCATTTCGACAAACGACCTTGGATTGAGAATGGCGAAGGCTTCACCGTTCATTCATCAACCTGACCGAGTGGCGCGAAAGGCGAGTGAATTGTCAGCAGCTGATTGGCTATATCAAACACACGTGAAACAATATCGTATTTTTTCACGTGTGTTGTTACGGCTTTTCTCAGGGCTGAAAATCCTTGCATAACACCGCAGTTCACATGATAGAAGGTGGTCCTCTCATTTTATATAATTAGTTTAAAGTTAGAAATTAATTTACCAGCTGAGACAGGCTCTATCTGTTATAAATATTTTAGAGACGTGTTTTTGATCATGGGGTCTGATCGTCTGGGTGTGAGTAATACTGAAAAGGATTGCTCGTTGTGACAGTGAATACAGCAACCTTAATGGAAAACTCCTTTGGTGAATTGCGCCCAGGTTGTCGAAACAGCAGTCACTTTTACCGACAACAGTCCTTTTCAGGACTAGAAGGGGTAAGTTTCTGAAAAAAAGAACTGAGGTGTTGCGTTGGTGGAGGCAATATCAGAATATTTGATTTTATCGGACGAAGGGCTGACGCTCGAAAAGTCAGCTTTAGGAACACGCAGCACCACACGCGACGCAGCATCACAGTTTATAAAAACTTAGACCATTTTCAGGACTACTCTCACCCGGACGATCAGACTACACGACCAAATGTTTCACCTTGTCTCAAACCACTCTCCGTTAAAATTCTTGTATAAGCTGTGTGACTCAGTAATAAGATTGTTTTTTGTAAAAAAAAATTTTTTTCTGTAAAGCAAGGAGATGACACAATTTAACAACTAATAATTTTATTTTAACGCTGCCTCGTGGTTGACGTAGTTGCCTTGCAGTTTGTTGGTCCCTTAACGTTAGTGCTTTTCATCAACTAATCATTTTATTTTTGCGCTGCCTAATGGTACGTGCTCTACTTAAAAACTAACATTTTTAATTTTCATCATTTTACACTTACTACAGTTCCCACACATTCACTTCCTTTGCCCTGATTAGTTAATTGAGGAGATTTGGGAACCCTTTCATTAGGGATTCCATAACTTTACGCCTGCAATACCACAAAGGTTGGTAGATAATTCCACTGCTTTATAGCAAACATTTATTTTTTACAAAACTGCAGCAGTAATATCCCCCATGCGTTGTAGCACCACAGTCTATAAAAATTTACACCATTTTCAGGACTACTCTCACCCGGACGATCAGACTACACGACCAAATGTTTCACCTTGTCTCAAACCACTCACTGATAATATGTTTTTATAAGCTGTGTAACTCAATAATAAAATTAAGTAATAAAACATTATTTGTTTCGTTTGCCTTATGACTGACCAACATGCCAAGAGAAAATTCTGTTTAAATATAGAGTCGAAGTTACTTAAGACATAGCATATTGGGGAAGATGCTGTTCCCAGGGTCGAATCTGCTGTTAACACCTAATTTAACCTTGTAGTTGTCGTAAATTGTATTTTGGTGAAACACCATGGAAGATGCATTTCAGTTCTGGCCCAACTTTTCATCAAATCCCCAGCGAAATAGCCCCCAGCTTTTTGTCACGTGTTTAGACGAGACCATGTATATTTGGAATACTGTAATAATAGCGGACTGTGTATTGAGGGTAGCCCTAGAAAAAATAATCTGCGATCCCACGCCCCTTCTATCTGTCTAAGACTAACAAGACTACAATCTTGAGGTAAGAGGCTCTCAGTGGGGTCAACCATTAGCCGTAAAATGGCATTAGTTTGTTAAGTCTTTAGACGTAAACTTGACAAAATTTAACGGCTAGACGTAAAAACAGTGGACTTAAAAAATTTTCCTCGTAACCTCAAACGGAAAAAAATGAACTGTTAGCCGTAAAATGTCCATAATTTTAACCGTTCGCGGTGAAAGCCAACACCCCTATGAGAGCATCAGGTGATTTGAATGTAGTATCCGTTGATAGAAAATTTGGCGTCAAATTCAACGATTTATTCAGCTGGCGTGTGAAGGAACTAAATGAGTGTTTAAAAGACTCCGTTTGCTAAGGAAGTGTATTATGACATAATATGACGTTTATATGTTGTGCATTACAACCTCACCTTTCAATAAACGATGATCATTGTAATGTTTGCATGAGTAGCACAATACTGGAGATCTGAGAGTACATGGTGGTTCGATAAGTTATCTATGTTATGCATTACAATAAAAATACTAAGAACTAAAGCTATATGATAAGGAAAGATTCCTTAAGTAAAGAGATCAGAAAATTCTTCTAAAAGGAAATTCAGTCTTAAAATAATTGGGAAGAAAACCGTTATTTCACCTGTTTCTTGAAATTTGACGAGGCAGCTAATCTTCTACCATAATTGTTTGAGTCTTATAATGATCTGGTGGCACACACAACAAAAATATATGACCCAGTCCATTTCATGGTGAAGTAGGAGTAAAAATATCTCTTCCAGGTTGATGCCCTTAGTTTTTTAGCCATGCTTTGACTAAACATTTAACACAGGAAATAGTGTCATGACTGTCATTGATACTATGATAGTGGAAACTGGTAACAAGTCCTTGGAAATCCAAAGGGGAAACCTTGGACATGGTTGGGTATTTCACTTGTTTACTTGGTGGAAGGGATGAATCCAGGAAAGTAAAACTGTTGTTTGAGGGATAGGCATTTTCTGTAAAATCATAATTGTTTAATTACCATATAAGTTTTTCTTTTGGGCAGGCTTAAGTCTAAAGGCCATGATGGGTTCATGGTTAGGTGTAAAACAATTTGCTCACAAATTAGAGGCAAATTTACTTTGTGCTTAATGGCATTAATTCTAAGTGTTCTTATTTTTTGTGCATTAGAATACAATTAGAGTTTTCATATTGATGCTTCTGGTAGTAAATTTGGATTTTTTTTCTTCTTTTCTTGTTATTAAGAAAATGGGAACCAGTGGAGAAGGAACCAAAATTCAGTGCAAGGTCTGACCAATATTGTTCAGTTGCAATTTTTACTGATTTTGCCAATTTATCAGTCAAATTCCCCTTTTCCTTAATTTTTTAAAACCATTTCAACACTGTTTTGCTTACTTTTAATTCAAAGCTTGTAGGGATAACAGATGTCGCTAGCCCAGAGGGTAGGGATATGTGTGCTGAGGCTTTAAGGAAATTAAAGGTGCAGTGTACCAGTTCATGAGTCATGTTAATTCATGAACTTGAATCAAAGCTTAAATTTATTTTTTGTCATAATGGCAATTATAAGTTGTGTTACATTTCTAAAACATGACAATTATAGGCTGTTATTCCTTGAACATGCCACCATAAAACTGCCTGAGTTGCATTAT